AATGATTCCACTTGACGAGACCGAGCAAGCAGGCGTTGGCCCATGTTGAACACAGAGCTCGCACACTGAACACTGAGAGCGAGGGACTCTTGAACGGCCAACTCATCGGACCGTCCTGAAAGCAGCCTACTATCTTTTGGTGTGAGGAGGTTCCTAGCTACTATTGTAGATGTTGTTGCATCCTGCATCACTGAGTCTTCACCTGTAAGAGGACCGTTAGAAGATAAGAAAGAAGGGCGCCATACGTTACCTTGACGCGGCGCCCCCGTATCACTGCTGAGACTCAATTCTAAGCTAAGGTTCGATGGGTTAGCCATTTTTTCAAAGGTGTTAAAAGAGATGGGTGGATGGAATTAAAACTCAAAAGGCCGGAGATGATTTTCAGGAATGAGCAACCTTCAAAGTGTGCATATTAGAGGTGATCAATACCTCTATAAAAAGGAAGAGGCGCTTGCTCAGAAATCGAAGAGGCGCTTGCTCAGAAATCAAAGAGGCGTTGGTTCAAAAATCGAAGGGCCGCTTATTCAAAAGTGAAGAGACATCGCTCTGCAAATCTCAAAAGCTGGATTTTCCGGCGTAAGTTAGGCGACGCTTTCTCGGCTTTTCAGAAAACGCGTTCAACTTTGTCAAAAGATCTCTGACAAAGTTGAAAACACGTGGAGGTTGGCGACGCTTTCTCGGCTTTTCAGAGCACGGGTGCCACTTTGTCAAAAGATCACGTGGAGGTCATCATCGCAACTACACATCTTTAGCCGACAAGCACAAAGTTCGGCGACGCATTCTCTGCTTTTCAGAAAACGCATGCAGCTTTGTCAAAAGAGGCACTCGTTCAGAAATCGAAGAGGCGTCGTTCAGAAATCAAAGAGGCGTATTCAAAGATCGAAGAGTCGTCACTATTTCAAAAAGCCAGATTTGCGGGATCAAAACGTTTGTCGACAAGGGTAAAAGAACAGTACCACCACTTGCTATTGGGAAATCCCTATATATGTCGACCTTCATCTTTTATGGCAAGGCAGACCTGAAGATAATGCCCAACTCTTCCTCACCTCTGAGGGCGCACTCCCAGCAAAGCCTTTCGAAATACTCAATTTTTTCTTCTTCCCCAAAGATGATACCAGATGCCTGGAGTACAGATGACCCAGGAGGAAACGGTAGATGGAAGCATGTGTTGATTCATTCACCGCTTCTTCAAAAGCAAAGGTATCTCATATCATCAAGGTCAAAAGCAAAGGTATCTCATATCATGCTCTTTCCCTGTTTTTTCCTTTGTCTTTGTTATTACTCGCATAGCAAAGTGAAAGGAGCAATCAGCCGGCACTTGGAGTCAGTCTTTCGACTGCCTGGAATCCCTTCCCTGATTGCTTACCTAGCGTTGCTCTCGAGTAGTCATCTTCAACGGTTGATACACTTCCAGAGAAGGGACCACTTCTGCAAAGGGGAGCAAGTAAGGCAAGTGAAAATGATACATTGAAGCATGTGGAGACAAGCTACAACTGCATATGCTGAGCTATCCTCTAACCCTCTTCAATACGAATTGGAGAGATTGAACAAAGAAACAGAAAAAAAGAGTAAGCTCAGACCTTCGGGGGAGACCAAAAGAATCCTGCTGCCCAGTTCAAGAGTAGCACAAAGGAAAATCAACGAGTGGAGGAGACCAAAAGAATCCTACACCCAGTTCAAGAGTAAGCCTGCGGAAAATCAACGATTGGAGGAAACCAGAAAATCTCCCAGTCGAACTCAAGATCAAGCCTCGATGGCCCTTGAAGAAATTTCCAGCCCAATTCAAGATCAAGCCTCGACGGCCCTTGGGTTGACATCTACATTAAGGGACTTCAAAACGCATCTTCTACACGTGACAATCACATGTTTACGACGCGCCTTGAAGTGGGGGCATTTGTAGACATCAAAATTTCGGTGAAATGAATGTTGACCAATAATTAAAATTTCAACGGTCACGTATCACATAAATTTTACATGTAGCGTGTGACTCAACGAAAAATCGAAATAAATTGGAAAAGTCATCAAATAGGACACGTGTCAATACCTGGCAGAAATGATTTATTTCATCTGATTATTTAAATCCAAAAATCAAGTTTTGGAATTCTATAAATAGGAAGCCAAGGCATTCATTTTGAAAAAAAAAAGCAAGGAGAAAGGAAGAAAGGAAAAAAGGAAGAAAGAAGGAAAGGAAGAGAAATTTACGTTACACAAAAACCTTGAAGCCTTGAAACTCTAAAGCTCTCAAGCGAATCCCGAAGGACCAAGAAAGCACTTTTCGTTCTTCGTCAAATCCTCCTTCAAGATCAAGCCCCAACGGCCCTTGAAGAACTCCTACCAACTCAAGATCAAGCCCCGACGGCCCCTTGAAGAAAGTGTTCATCATTCATCATCCGTTCATCCTAAGATCAAGCCCCAACGACCCCTTTGGATCAACAACCTCAACAAACTCATACACCCATTCTTCAAGATCAAGCCCAACGCCCCTTGAAGATCCATTCATCAACTGTTCATCCTTAGATCAAGCCCCGACGGCCCTTTGAATCAACAACTCATCCACAAACCTACACCCTACGAAGATAGAATCAGAGGACCAAATTACAAAGAGATTGTAACCCCAAAATCTTTAAACACAAAATATTATTTTGTACACGTTATTCTTGTCTCTTGTTTCAGGAATTTTTCGTATTTACACAAACCAAATATATACACTTAATTTTATTTATTTATTTATATTAGGTATTTATTTTTTTACCCAATTTCAAGCCCAAATTCCAAACCCAAATATGTTAAAAGCCAAACTTCAAGCCCATGTTAAGAAAATCCTTCTTACCCCAAACCCTAGCTAGCATGTTCTTTTCTCCTTCCTTTGTTCTTTTCTTTCTCAGCGGCAGCTTTGCATCTTCACTATTTTTCTCCTGTTCTCCCTCTCCAGCAGCCCCATCTTCCTTCCTCTCCCACTTATCTTTATTTCTTCCGTCTTCTTTCCACCGCCAATTCTGACTGAGACCGAGATCGAGATCGAGGTCGAGAGCTGGAACTGGAATCATTAAAGAGCAGTATCTCCTCTCTCTGCTATTTTCGATTTCAGTTTTGCATCTGTTTGAGCTGCCTTTCAGATCTTCGAGGGTTTGTTTTTGCAATACAATAATCAAAGAATTGGGGTCCTTAATTTGCTTTGATCTCACATCTTCCAGCGATCAGGAGTTTCATTTCTTTACTTGAAATCAATGAATACCAGCAGATCCACCCATGCAACCGCCGCCTCTTCGTCTTTCTCCCGGCGTTCAAACCGCTGGAAGTACGAGCTGTGCAAGAATTCACGGCTACTTTTCTTTTTTCTTTGTTTTTCCCTTTTCTTGAAATCAGTGATTACCAGCAGCTCCGCCCATGCAAACCGCTGGAACTACGAGGTATTCCTCAGCTTTAGAGGCGTCGACACACGCAAAACCTTCACAGACCACCTCTACTCTGCGTTAAGCAAGGCCGACATCTACACGTTTGTAGACTACCAGCTCAGAAGGGGGGGAAATATACAGAGTGAGCTTGACCGAGAAATCGAAGGGTCGAGGATCGCCGTCGTCATCTTCTCGAAGAGGTACGCGGAGTCCCGATGGTGCCTGAGGGAGCTGTCGAAGATCATGAGGTGCCGAGATGATCAAGAAGGGAAAGTAGTCTATCCAATATTCTACGACGTTGACCCTTCTCAAGTGAAGAAACAGAGTGGTAGTTTTGGGGAAGCATTTCGGAAGCATGAAAGGGACGAAGATCCAAATGAGGTGGAGCAGTGGAGAAAGGATCTTAAAGCTTGTGCGGATTTGGGTGGCCGGAATTTTAACACCACTGCAGACGGGTATAAATTCAAGTTTCCTCTTTTACAAAATTTAATTGCTTGCAACATCATCAGCCAAAGTCATGATGAATAAGGCGTTTAGTTCATATGAATCTTGCTGTTGCATAGTGAATCATCTATTTGCATAATTGAAGTCTCATCAGAGTACTGAATCTGAAGAAGCTGAAAGATGTTAGCGATATAACAACATATATATATATATATATATATGTATATACATACACCTTTGTGTTTGTCACCAACATCCTTTATCTGCAAATACTGAGGAAGCCACAATGATAATAGCCATAGAAATCCAATGCTAGGATCATATTAGAAGAAGAATATAATGATTAGTAATTAGATAAGCATCAGCCTTGACGGAGTGATACCAAATGTTGGAACAAATATAGCAAAGCCTAATTCATTAGCAGATCATTAATCACATGGACGGTTGATAAAAAAAACTGAGGAAGCCATGGACGATTGATAAAAAAACTGAGGAAGCCATGGACGATTGATCAAAGAAGAGCTTCTACTCACTGAGAACCTTATGTTGTTGCTAGTAATAGGACTAGTCTTCTGTATGAATTCCCAGTGGGTTATCCACCAGTCTTTCATGTCAGCTTAAAGGTCGACTAATTAATTCTTAATTTTAAGATATATGATGAATTAGATTAGTTCATATGAATCTTGGTGTTGCATGATATGATTGTTGCTCCTGCAAACATTGTTAGTTTCGATAACCTTTGATATGAGCTATCTCTATATATCATCATGCCTTTCAACAAAAGATTAAGTTGCAACCGTTATTCATATTATAATTTTGTGTTTGTCACCAACATTCTTTATCTGCAAATACTGAGGAAGCCACAATGATAATAGCCATAGAAATCCAATGCTAGGATCATATTAGAAGAAGAATATAATGATTAGTAATCAGATAAGCATCAGCCTTCAACGGATTAATGAGAAGACAATAATATTGGCTCTGATACCAAATGTTGGAACAAATATAGCGAACCCTAATTCATTAGCAGATCATTAATCACATCGTCTAATTAATTCTTCATTTTAAGATATATGATGAATTAGTTTAGTTCATATGAACGTTGGTGTTGCATGATATGATGAATGATCTGTTTGCATAATTTGGACTTTCAATTTGCAGGCGTGAAGCATTGTTTATCCAGAATGTTGTTGGGGACATCAGCGCACTAACAAAAACCACGGACTTGCAAACAAGTCAGTCAAAAACCAGAGACTTCCAAACAAGTCAGTCAAAAACTCGGTTGGAATATCTCGTCGCGTGGGCCAGAGTTCCCTACCACATTTTTTTTTTTTAATTTTTTTATTTGAAACAGAGAGGTTGTCTTGACTCATAAAGATTCGGTCTCATGTCTGACAAACCTCTTTTGTGCTTTTCTTTTGTAATTGAATGCTTTCCCATAGTCTAGTCAGCACTTTTTCATTCTTTTTCTCCTTTTTTTTTTGGTTCCTTTTTTCTCCTTTTGGTTATAAAGATTACTTCTCTCCTCCCTCGATTCGCTCCCCCCTCTCTCTCTCTCACCTATTACTTTTTTTCTTATTTGATTCACCCACTTTCTTCTCTCCCTCCCTCTTTCCTTTCTCTGCTTCTCTCGAACTATATTTGATTCACCCACTTTCTTCTCTCCCTCCCTCTTTCCTTTCTCTGCTTCTCTCGAACTATATTTGACTACAAGCATTTGAAGAAGAAGAAGAGGACCCATATGATCCAGTTCTCATATTCTTCAAAGCCTCGCTCTTCAACTCAAGACCCTGGGCGCGAAGACAAGCTCTCTCCAGCCGATGCCCACGATTTTGAGTACGGCGTCTACTCCCCCGACTACGACAACCGCACTCCGCTCCACATCGCCTTGCCCCAAGGCTGGATCCACGTTTCCGGTCCTTCCTTTCATGTTCTTTGGTTCTTCCTCCGTCAGCCCAATTGAGGACGGCTCCGCCAAATCCAACGCGAGCATTCATCCCTTTAACCCTGACGTGGGTTTTTGCCATTTTTTGCATATTGTAATAGGAATTTCAATATATATTGTTTATTTTAATTTCGTTAATTCCTACTATTTGAGTTTTTGTTATTTTTGTTCATTGTAATTGGAATTGATTTGGAGAATATAAGTAGATGGTACAATGTAATTTGTGTTTGATGTTATGAAGAATTTCTTGAATTGGAGGAATTTGTTGCAATTGATTTTTTGGGTACAACATTGCAATTTTCAATTGGGGCAATTCCTCTTTAATTTATATCGAATTGGTGTTGAAGGAATACTAGTGGAGTTAAACTTCAAATTTGTGACGATTGTGATGTCTCATTGCGTGTTGTGCATGCAATCTTGTGATTTCAGATTGAAGTTTATGTGGTGATTGTCTTCGAGATTGCTCAGGCAAGGGTCGCACCATGCACGATTGTGAAATCTCATTGCATGTTTCATATATCTTTTTCGTTAAAGCTTCTTCATTGTAATTTGTTTCCTAAGTCTCTTGTTAAGCTTACCCATTGTTTTGTGTTTTTGCAGAAAAGTGGAGCCACTTTACCTTGTTGCTTGTACAAAAATCAAGTTTAGGGGTGGATTTCCATCTACATCTTCAGTTGCCGCTTCTCCTTTAAACCCAGGAAGTTTCTTCGTCCAAGAGCTTTATTGATTTATTTTTCTTTTTGCTATACTTTTGTTGTCTATTTTCATTATTCCTATCTTCAATTTTTTTTAGTTCAAAAAAATACATAAAAATAAAATTTCGAAAAATCCAATATATATATATATATATATATTTTTTTTTTTTTTAGTCTTGTTCTTATTGGCTACTTCCCATTTCACATATGAGATTCAGTCTTTATTTTCTTGTAACTTTCAAGAAATTTATACTTGACATTAGTTCTTTATATTATTTTTGTTTTGATCATATTTTTGATGATCATGACTTGGAAAATTTATATGCACATAGCCATGTAAATGTGAAACTAGGGCATGATTTAACGCTTCATGTGTAAATCTAGTGAGTTTATGTAACCATTGTGAGCTTTTGAGCCTCTTATAGATTGAACCATTATGTATCAATCTCATTTATTCTTGTGCGTATGATCTCATTTTACATGTAACTGCCCGTTTCAAAAATTTCATTATAATTAGTTAAAATTACGAAAATACCCCTAATGACATAAACATTGACTTTCGTCCGTTGATGTAATATAATTCTTCGTTAATTTATTTCTGTAGCTCTCGTTGATACGAACGCGTATTACTGACGTTTGGTACAAGATTTCTCAACTATTGCCTTATCACTTACGAGGTTAACTTGGAAAGGCGTGAAATTCGAGTGGGATGAAGACTACGAGCAGAGCTTCCAGGAGTTAAAGTGTTGCCTTACTCGCGCCTCTGTTCTTGCCTTTCCAGATGAGGGCGGGGAGTTTGAGAGCTACAATGATGCTTCTTTGTTTGGTTTGGGTTGCGTATTGATGCAACATGGGAAGGTCATTACTTATGCTTTGAGACAGCTTAGCCTAGCATGCATTTCATATTTCATGATTGAGCATGTTTTATAATATGTTTTATGGAGAATTTATGATTTCTTTAAATTACTTTTACGTAACACGGGAAGGTCATTACGTTTACGTAATGTACATAGATATCCTCATCTGTGTCCTATGGCCATAGACGTCTAACGTACCCGTGTTTTGTGGATGTGTTGTATGATAACCCACTAGATACATACCAAAAACATATCTCAAAATCTTATATCCAAATCCAGAGCTCTAAAGCTCAATGCCTCATCTCATAAATCCATGATAACTCATACTCATAAATCCATATAATAAATCATATTCGTAAGCCATAGAATTTCATACATGAGAAACCAATGATTCATAACCTTTTGTAAAACATAAATTCGATAAATCATAAATATTTTGGAAAAGTAATTTAAATAAATCATAAGTATGAAAATCCTTAAAACATATCCATTCATGAAATATGCAATGCATCCAAGCCTAACATTTTATAAAAACATGCAAGTTTAGAAGGGGACAACTCACAAATATTTTGTTGCTCGGGAACTGCTCGAGCTAGCGAGGATGAAGTCACTTTACACCAATGCACCTAACCACAATTAGGGACCATTTAGTAAAACGGACAGCGAATTCGGATTCGGAACGTCGAAAAACCTAATGAGGGACCTCGGGTTCCTCCCATTGTGCCACTGCACGAGCAGTGGCCTAAAAGGCTACGCGCCGACCAGCAGCCACGACTCGCCGAAAAATTTAATAACTCCAAAAATTCCCAAATTTAACAAAAATGAAGATCTCAATGATAGGAATAACTTTCATACCTGGGCCAAAGTCTAATTCGCCCAGAAAAATCGTGAAAACACCCTCGATTCGTCAAAACCTTAGAATTGGGCCTTCTCGATTTGATGCCAAAACGAACTCCAACGCCTCATCCAATGCTTCGGCCTTGTTCCTAAGGTAGAGGGAAGTAGTTTGATGGTGGTAATCGACTGAGTTAAATTCAAAATCAACGGATCACCACTATGGAACCATCATACCCACCGGTGCGGTTCTTCATGAATCTGAGCCCAATTTCTTCAATTTTGGGGTGGAATTGGTAGAGGAAGGGTCATGCAGTATTTCTTAGGTGGTAAGTGGCTTCAACTCATCGAAAAACTACCATGAAAGGCATTGGAAATCATGGGAGCCATTGGGTCAGGTTGCGAGTCAAAAAGGGAGTTCGGATTTCCTTATTCTCTTCTCCCTCCTTTCCCCTCCTTGCTCTTTCTTCTCATTAGTTCACTCTCCTTATTTCTTCCCTGATTGGATAGCTCCCCTCCATTTCTCTCATCTTTTTTCCATCACAGCCACACACGTGGCACCAGATTGATGCACCAACAAAATTTGGAGCCTTCCAGATTTATGGTCAAATGATCATTTTGCCCTCAACTTTGTTCGTTAATAACTCTTTCATTATAACTCCAAATTTGACTCTGCTTAAGCCCACACGTCCGTAACATTGAGCACAACAAGAATACATCAAGAAAACGGATCTTACATGACACGATAAGACGGTCAACAAAAGTCAACACATTTGCCTCGAAGGGCATTTTTGTAATTTCACAGCTAAAAATTATAAAACTGTAATATTTGAGGACGGGTCGTTACATAAATCCATCTAGATGCCATATAGGGTTAACATATAAGATACTTTTGATGCAACCAGATGTCATGGTAATTCAATCATTTAGGAAAATTGATCATCAATATTGGAGAACTACTTGAGCATAACATATTAAGGGAATTAAGTAGAATTGGTTACGGTGAATTCAGATGCCCTAGGTCTACTTTTCTTATGTTTTCGATTTATTATTTTCAAGCTTTATTTAAATTTTAGTTAAATTCAAATCATATCTCTTTTTCGTTAAAACTTCTCAATTGTAATTTGTTTCAATTTATTTAGTAAGTTTCAATTTATTTAGTAAGACTTTGGAATAAATTCGATCTCTGTGAGACGATATCGGTGATTCAATGTATACTATCATCCGATTCATATATGCGAGCACTAAAATTCAAGACTTAATGAGGTTAATTTTGGTTATCTAATTTTCGCATCAAACCACCTCAAAGCCCTTTTGAATATAAGCCAACATTGTTGATCGTATCGCTTCCATCTCCGTCATTAAACCAGATTCATATGGTAGGTCAACACAGCCGCCTACCCCCTAAAAAATACCAGCATAAGCTTTTGCCATCCATTCATATCCACCACCTGTGGTGAAGCCAAGAATTGTCGGGAGGAGAAAGAACTTAAAAGAGAGTGAGGTTCAAAAGAATGACAACAACCAAATCCTTTTATATAGTAATGTCTATCATAATTTATCAATACAATATAATTTAGTACATTTAACCCATTCATATAGACAAAATCCAAAGGATATATATGATTAAAATATATGAAAATATGCACACATCATGGTTTAGATAGAATCAAACTCCAAATGTCTAGTGGAATGCTTAACGGAAAAAGTTAACTTGATGTTGTGATTGAAGGCATCCTTTTTTATGTTCAGTGTTTGAAAAGGCAGTTGAGGTCAGTGGAATTTATCTTCGCCCCTCGTGTTTGCAACAAGACAGCGCATCTAGTAGCTTCTTTTGTTGTCCAGAAAGGAGGCTTTCATAATTGGGATGGTCTTAAGTCAGAATAGCTACTTAATATTTTAGCTTCGGATGTAAACATTTTCATTCGAATATAATAAAGTTTCTTTCTTTTATAAAAAAAAAAAAGAATTAAAAAAAGAGGTTTGCCAAGTCAAAGCGACAAGTTGTTGGCCACGTAAGCACCTAGCCAAGTAAAAAAGATAAAAAAAGGTAGTAGTGAACTGTTGCGGCCTTGCACACGCGACAAGGTACTCCAACCAAGTGCTTGACTTGTTTGTAAAAGCATATTCCAATGAGAGGTTTTATACTAGGATAGAAAAGTGATGGAAATAATCTAATTTAATGATGGTTAAATAGCCAACATGATTCTTGAGATTTGCATAATCAATAGAAATGGTCTCTGAGATTGAAAATCAATAGAAATGGTCCCTGAGATTGTCCACCATCCATGGTTTTGGTCATACTGTTAAAAACTTTTTGGGCAATTTTCAAAGTTTCGTAACTCAATCGATTCTTAACCAAATTCTACCCATAATATATCAAAATGAAGATAGTAAAGTGTAGAACAAGATTATACCTATTTAGAAGCCCAATGGTTGCTGGAGATGGCCAGAAAATAGCCTGAAAGGTGACTGTTCCGCGGGAAAACTGGAAAACTCGCCGGAAACTGGGTAAACTTTAAACGTTCATAACTTCTTCAATACTCAACGAAATCGAGTCATACATCTCAACAAGACGAAGATAATGATACCTTTCTCGATGGCTAACTCGCCATAATCTCAGGGACCATTTATATTGATTTTCAATTTCAGGGACCATTTCTATTGATTATGCAAATCTCAGATACCATTTTGACTATTTAGCCTTTAAAGATTTGAAAATTGTTTGGGGCTTTAAGAGCATTCTTAATAGGGACTTTATTCTCCATGAATCTTACATTTCTAGTTTTAGTGAGAAATTTCATCCTCAATGAGCCGAAAAATGGAGGCTAGACCTACCCCTCGGGCTAGCAACTTCCTTTTTGGGTAGCATAAAATTGGGCTACATCTAGCCCCAAAATCCAGTGGGTCCCACAAAAAGTAGCAATCTATGTGAGCAAAATTATATCACTCTCCCTTCACTTGCGAATATACTTATACTCTCTTTTTAACATTTTTTTAATTCTTTTTTCTTGCAATTTGACTAATTAATGATTTTTTTAAATTCCATAAGAATTAAAATTTCAAATTGATTTAATGTTCATGGGCATTAGTGGGTGAAATTTTCAAATAAATTTTTGTTTTCAAAATTATATGATATTAATTTACCAATAGTGCTAGGTAAATTGTTGTGTTGTATGTGAAAATCAAATTATTTTAGAGGCGAAATGGAGGTTTTTATTTTTCAACGGATGAGATTGAGATAAGAGAATCTAATCCAACGAATGGTTTATAAGTGATGAAATCTAATTTTGTCAGAATTTGAACTATTTAGGTTGAAAGGTTCATAAAAAGAATTTAAGATAACATGTCAAAAAATCAACTTAAGAAAAGTTAACTGACACACTCCGACCGAAATCACGTGAGGGTGACGTAGCCATGTGCACAGTGCGGAAGCAAAATATAATAATAAAAGTACGAATAAATAAAAACCAAACTACTAAACAATGTAGTTAACGTACAAGTGCAAGTGTAAGTGTGAAAAACAATATTCAGAGCACAGAAAGCCTATTGCAGTCCAGAGGAACAAACACTAACTAAACACACCCTGAGGTGGTCTTACACTGGTGATAATCTGTCAGATATGTCGTGGATTCCTCGCAAGCCACCAAAAGAGCAAACCAAACTAGAACGTGGAGGGGCGCAAAACAGAAAGTGTGAGTGGGCTTTTGGTTTTCCGTATATACCTATATACTTGTGGTTTTTCTAAGAAAATGAAATGGAATGTTTATATGTTTTAAATGCCATGCATTGCGTTTGTCTATTTATTTATGCATTAGTAGTTGCATATATGTATGTTTGGTGCTGCGGACGCACAAGTACGTGCCAAGTAAGTTTATAGATTATGATTGTGAATTAGTGGTTATATGAGATGCATAGAGAGCTCATAACCTGCACCCTCGGTGTTAGTGCTCCCGCCCAGAGTAAGGCATAGTTCTTCACGTGATGTTCACCTCCCGCACCACACGCTCATCTTGGATCCAAGTTAGGTGCACAGTCCTGTCGTACAGACCACTATAGGTGGTTTCGACTCGTAGGTGACCCGCGATTATTCGTCCAGTCTTCACGTGATCGTAGCACTTGTGCGTATTTATTTACACCCAGTCCTGTCGTACAGACCACTTTAGGTGGTTCCGACTCGTGTGCAGGTATAGTTAGTGAGGGGATTTGAGCTTTAGATTCAGCCGTACAGGTCACGTTAGATGACTCCGGCTGACATGTTACTTGCATTGATTGACATTACCCGGGTTACTTACATTTTATGTGGAGGCATTCGACATGACATATTTCTGAACATGTTTTTGATATATGTGTATATTCTATTTTCTAGGAAACTATACAGGTTTTACAGAGAGGGGTTAAAACTTTTGATAATGAAATGATCTCACATGACGGCCAACATGCCTTGACTCTGGTCGGGGTGTGTCATTAACACACAAAAAAATTATCGCACATAAATAAATAAATATACATATAGCTCTATATAGAGTTCGAAAGAAATAGCCCCTCGTTTGGAGAGATTCTTTTATAAAGCTGCAAAAATCCTCGGAGCTCTAAAATGGGTTATGTCCACTACTTTCTCAGCCTTATATACAACGCCTCACTGGGATGCTCTAAAAAGAATCTCTCCTAATGAGAGGCTATATACCTTTCGGGCTCTATATAGGCTATATATTTTTTATGTTGTAATTTGATTACGCGATGAATTTTTATCTTTATTTTTCTTAAGTTGATTTTTGAACGTATTATTTTAAATTTTTTTTTAATAAACTTTTCAACCTAAAATATGATCAGAATAATTCACATGTAATAAGTTCGTTGTCACGGAATGTTTTAGTATTGTATGTATAATTTATTGTGAGATTTCACGCTACGATGACCCCTTCAATATAAGAGCTTTGCAAAACCTTTAGCATAGAATTGAAAAATGACCAATGTTGGAATGATTTGTTGGAACTGAATAGACTATAAAATAGGTAAAGTTAGTAGGCTAGTGCGAGCTACTGCTTTTTACAAAATGGGTGGGGGATAGAGAATGAGAGCCTACGGACCGTAATGGGCTTGACCACTGGTTTGATTGATGGCTAAGAATTAGCATCTTTTTTTATGCAACTTAAACGTGTAATAATTTATAATAATTAATTTACAAGTATAAAAAATTCTGTTGATGGGTACATGATTGGAAACCCAATATCTTCCGCATGGTATGTTCAATAAAGTCAGTCATTTAGTACCATTTATAGATGTCAACTTGGTTTATTGTTTCAATTAGTTCTTACATTTTTACTTTATAAACTTTCATGACGAATCATATTTAGTTATAAACTGTTTTAACATGTATCAATGACATAACCCACTGCAAAACCAAACTGTAGCACACAATTCATCACTACTATGACAGCTAAGACATTCCAAATCACACAAGTTTACATACATTGGGATAAAACCCACAGTTATTCAGTGTTAAATATCATTACAATAAGTACACTTTTTTTGGATGCAACCACCCAACTACTTGGAAGTTGGATGCCCAGATTTTCCCGTGCATGGTGCGACTCTTGCCGAAGGCAATCGCCACATAAACTTCAATCTGAAATCACAATAGTCATAAATTTGAAGTTTAACTCCACTAGTATTCTTTCAACACCAATTGGATATAAATTAAAGAAGAATTGCCACAATTGAAAATTGCAATGTTGTACCCAAAAAAACAATTGCAACAAATTCCTCCAATTCAAGATATTCTTCATAACATCAAACACAAATTTCATTATACCATCTACTTATATTCTCCTAATCAATTCCAATTACAATGTATAAAAATAACAAAAACCCAACTCAAAGATCGTCGGAATTAATGAAATTAAAATAAAAAATATATATTGAAATTCCAATTACAATATGCCAAAAAGGGCAAAAACCCACGTCAGAGTTAAAGGGATCAATGCTTGCGTTGGATTTGGCGGAGCCGTCCTCAATTGAGCTGACGGAGGAAGAGCCGAAGACCACGAAAGGAAGGAGCAGCATGTCGATCCAGCTGTGGATTAGTAGGTGACCAGAAACATCGATCCAGCCTTGGGGCGAGGCGATGTGGAGCGGAGTGCGGTTGTCGTAGTCGCGGGAGTAGATGCCATACTCAAAATCATGGGTACAGCATGGATGAGATTTACGGATTTACCTTTGGACGGTTTTATAAATGAATTCATGACATGCTAGAGTTTTCAGAAAAACTTATTATGTAGTATTATATGTGTTTTCAAAATAGGGGATTAGTAGGTTCATAAAGAAAATGGTTTTTCGTATTATTAGTATTATTATAAGTTATGGTCCACTCACCTTTTATGTTTTGCGCCCCCTTAGGAGTTAGATTTGAGGCACATGATCCCATCGTCAAGGTACGTCCACATAGGTATATTTGAGTCTTCTCAGTGTATGACTCTTCCCTTTGTTCATACCTTTTTATTATAATTCTTTCATATTATTCTTAATTAGTTGTATGCTCTAAACACATTCGTGCATTAGCATTTTCGTTCTAATTACATATTTTATTCGTAGACATGTTTAAAATGGCTTTGTCACCCTTGGCGGTGGCCAACACGTGCCCATCCTGGTATTAGAGGAATATCGAGATCGGGGCGTGTCAATTTAAACAAGTAAGAACCCATTAAGCTCTATGGAAATCATTGGAATATCACACAAACCCTAATTGCATTGCATCTACAAATAGGTGTTTATGGTAACAATTGTAAGAAGCTAAACTCAAGTTAAGTATGGCATCTACTCTAACTTCCATCAAATCAACTTAACTAAAACTTAGATGGTGATCAAGCATCTAAATACAAATCAAGCGCATTACTAATAGCAAAAGATACTCAATATGGAATAAAAACTTGATAATAACAATGCCACAAGGCAATTAAGTATTTATAATGTAGCCTTATTAAATAAAAACTCCAAAGTAGCTCTCCTCTTTGCCGCAACCTTGCTGGAACCAAATACTCCCAAACTAAGATCTTGCTTGTCCTTGAGCAAACCAAGATAAAACACACAGACTCGAAAGAAAAAAAATAATAGCTGACTTCCCAAATTTTAATATTTAAGATAACAACCGTGAGATAATTTTCAAGAAAAAAATAACAATAGCTCAAGACATTATCCAAGAGTTAACCAAATTTGAATTGAACCAACTTGGAGTGTAGTGTGTGTAATAACCATGTCAACGTAATTCCAAGCTTCTTTAAAACATCATATGCAAACCCGTGAGTTTCTCACAAGGCATACACTCATTCACTCATATTTGTGGGCCAACGTGTTCACTCAAATGATCTCACAAAACATACCGCCATATGTTTGCCTGTCCACATAGCTCGCTATCAATACTAAGTAATTTCTTGGATCAAAAGGTCTTTCACAAGGTTGTACTGTGGCTAAAGGGGCTAACTTGGAAAATAATTGTAAGGGTTGGTTAGAAAGGCTCAAACAAAAGAAACAAATGTCTATATCATTTCCATGTTTGTTACGTGAATTGATGAATGTAACGAGAGTTATAAAGCAAATTCTAGAGATACATGTAATGACACGCCCCAACCCAGATATCCTAATGACACCTGAATGGCACGTGCTGGCCGACACCAAAAGGTGACGAAAGCCATAAATGAGTGAATCTATGAGAATACGAAGGAACGAGAAAACTAGAAATTATGCAAAAACAACATTCGCAACGAATACGCAATATTAAGAAGCAATAACAATAATAAATTCAATTTAAGCATGAACGAAATAAGTTATTCAACGATCATGAGTATATCCCAGAGCATATTACAAAATAAAGTGTCAGAGAAAAGAAGAACAACAAGAAACAAGTGATCATCAAAGAAGTCATACTCAAGTGGAGGGATGCAAGGTCACTGATAGGGAAGGGCCTTGATCCTCGGATCTTAGTCTTCGTCGCTATGTCCTGAGGGGGCGCAAAACAGAAAAATTGAGTATACCATAATTTATATTAATACTAATAATACGAAAACCATTTTACTAAACATACGAACCCCTTGTTTTGAAAACATATATAATACTACATAATAGGTTTTTTCTGAAAATCCTAGCATGCCATGAAATCATTCATAAAATAAGTATGGTTAAAATCATGCTCAATAACGGTGCAATCATCGCCCGAAGGCAAATCCATAAATCTCATCAATATTGTACTCTCTAGAGGTATCATAGTCGCCCGAAGATAGTACCTATCCATCACCCGAAGGTGAAGCTGTAAGACACTAGGTTACACCAGTGAAGAAACATGATAGGCCCCATAACTCGAAGGTGAAGCTGTACGACTTCGGGATACACCGGAGAAGAAAATATTTACATCACACACTGACACTAGCCGTGGCTAGTGAAGTTGTCCAACATTGCTTTTGGCCGTGAAGTTAGGGGTATAATATATATCATATCTCACTCATCCTCATAAAACTGTGTCCTATGGCCATAGACATCTATACCCGTGTTGTGTGGATGTGTTGTATGATAACCCGCTAGATAAGCACAAAAAACATAGCTCAAAATCTCATATCAAATCACCGGATTTCAAAAGCTCAAACCTCGTCTCATAAATCCATAGTAAGTCATATCTGTAAATCCATGGAATCTCATATTCGTAAATCTGCAAAATAAATCATATTCGAAATCCATAGAAATTGATATACGAAATTCCAATATTTCATAACCTTTAGTAAAATGTAAATTCAATAAATCATAAATATTCCGTAAAAGTAATTTAAAGAAATCATAAATTCTCCATAAAACATATTATAAAACATGCTCAATCATGAAATATGAAATGCATGCTAGGCTAATATTTTATAAAAAAAATGTAAGTTAAGAAGGGGTCCACTCACAAGTACTCCTCTATCGAAAAGCCGCTCGAACTAGGATAGACTGGATCACTCTCAACCGATGCACCTAAACATAAATAGAGACCATTTAATAAAACTCTAGATGAAATTTTGGAAAACGGATAGAGGATTCGAATTTGGCATGTCAAATAACCTAAGGTTGGACCTTGGGTTTCCCTATGCACCGCCACAGGGAGGCTCTTTGGAAGGCCACGCGCCGAGTTGGGTCACCGGAAAGTGCACCCGAAAAGTCGTCGGCGCCGCAGTGGACAGCAGCGGAGCACAGTACCTCTGGCGGAGGTGCGTGTGCTCCACGCGCCAGCCATGATGCGCACCCACTTGCCGGTCCAAGGAGCTGGGTTGGGTTCTGGGTAACTGGATTGGGCCGAAGGTTTTTGGGCCTAATAGGTTGGGCCAATATTGATTTGGGCTTAGGTTGGGTTTAGTGGGTTAGGCCTGGGCTAGGTGGGTTGGATCTGATTTGGGATGGGCTTGTTATTGGCATGGTTTTGGGGTTTCGGGTCGGGTTTGACCCCGTTCCAGGCCGTGGGTTCGGCCAGAATCTAGGTAAACCTTCCCGAGCTTAATTTCACACCATTTCCAATGATTCAAAAATCAAAATGAAGATAAGAGAGTAAGGAACAAGAATATACCAAGATGGGGTTGAATCGTGGTCGAGATTAGCCGGAAAATTGTCTGCAACCAACGGTATTTTGCCAGAAAACTGGCAAGATGATTCCCGAGTTGAATATGTGTCCAACAACCATGAAAGTTACTCAAAAACATCCTAAACCCACTTATAAACATAGACTATGAAGTTTTAAGAATGTTTTAGACCTTACCTTGGTCAGAAAAGCTCGAGATCTCATTGGAGATCACAATCACATTGTTAGTGCAACAGTGTCGAGAAAGAAAGAGTGAGTGAGATCAGATAGGTGAGGAAGAGAAGGAAGGGAGTGGTGGTGATTGTGGTATTTGTGTATGTAAGTGTGTGTGTGTGTGTGTGTGAGTTCGCCAGAGAGGAGAGGAGAGTGAAGACGAGAGAGAAAATAGAGAGTTCTAGAGAAAGATCACGGGGAAGGAAGAAAAAAGGCACCAGACATAAGGTGCCATGTGTCACCCATGTAGAGGTCCAAAAGTGGAGAAATATCATCATTGATTAAATTACTAGAATGCCCTTGTCGTTCAAAAATTGTATGAGCTTTGTTTTAGCTGTGAATTCAATTTCGATCATGCCTACGCGTTCGTATCGACGACAGCTACGAAAATAAATAAACCAAGAATTCTAATACGTCAACAGATGAAAGTTAATGTTTCCGTCAATAAGGGTATTTTTGTAATTTTAACTAATTAAAATGAAATTTTCGAAACGGGTCGTTATAATATACCCCCTTAAGAAAATTTCATCACCGAAATTTCATTACCTCATGTAAATAAGAATGGATACTGGGCTCGCATCAGTTCTTCCACCTCCCAAGTAGCCTCCTTGAGTGCATGATTCTTCCATAACACTTTTAATTGCGGGATGGCTTTATTCCTCAACACCTTATCATGTTGGCCTAGAATCGCTACAGGTTCCTCCACATAGCTTATGTATGGTCTCACCTTTAGTGGTTACGGCTACAAAATGTGCGATGGGTCTAATACATACTTCTGAAGCATGGAGATGTGAAATATGTCATGTATCTGGGATAGCTCTGATGGCAACAGCAGTCTATAGGCAGCAACACCAATTCTCTCCGTAATTATGTAAGGGCCGATATATCGAGGACTTAACTTTCCTCACTTACCGAAGTGGATTACACTTTTCCAAGGTGATAACTTCAAGAATACGAAGTCACCAACTGCATATTCTTGATTCGTAGAATGCTTATCGGTGATGTTTTTCTGTCAGTTCAGTGCAAACTTCAAATTTCTTTTTATTAGCAGGATGTTGGCATTTTTAGTATCCACAATCTCTAGTCCCACCAACACGCGTTCACCAACCTCAATCCAGCATAATGGTGTCCTGCATGTTTTACCATATAGAGCCTCGAATGGTGCAATACCGATGCTAGAGTGGTATTTGTTATTATAGGCGAATTCCACCAAAGACAAATACTCATCCCAGCTACCCTTCCACTAAAGAATGCAGGTTGTCAATATATCTTCAAGAGTCTGTATTTTCCTCTCAGATTGTCTATTCATCTGCGGGTAGTAAGCAGTGCTATACAACAACTTAGTATCCAGGGCGTCATGGAAAGTTTCTAAAATCGAGAAGTAAATATCGGGTCCCAATCTGAGACGATAATGACCGGTACACCGTGATACTTGACAATATTCTCGATAAACAGCTTTGCTAATTTCTCCAATTTGTAGTTCTGCCGAACGGGTATAAAGTGAACGAATTTTGTCAGTCTGTCCACGATTACCCAGATACCATCAAAATTCAACCAAGTCTTCGACAACCCGTACACAAAATCCATCGTGATGTCCTTCCATTTCCATACTGGAATCGGAAGGTTCTATAGTAATCTACCTGGTTTCTTCCTCTCCACCTTAACTTGTTGGCAAACTATACACTTCCTCACATAGTCAGCAATATCTCGCTTCATACCATACCAATAAAATTCTTGGTATCACGGTGTACCGTCCGAAATTGCAATCAAGCCCGGTCACTGACATGTTACCCTGACGAAGAGTATAAAATTCTTATCTTTTCCTGGCTATGTACTGAGGACTAAGAAAATAATCTGAAAAGAGCTCTCGAAAGGTCTTCCAAGTCATTGGGGGGTTAGCAAGCCGAGATCGTCTAATAGAATCCTACCAGGTCTTAGCACCACCTCAAAGAAAATAACCAGCTGTCTTTGCTTGCTCCTCCTCAGAATAATGCATCACCTCAAAAACATCCTTAACTTTTTCAAGCCACTCTTTTACCACCTCACAGGCGCCCACAATATTCAAATCAGTCACCCCATGACTACGGGCAATCTCTACATAGGTGCAGTTCTGCCCACTATTCTGCGGGAATGCATGTCTTAGAGATGCAGCCAGTTAGTGAAATCTACCTAACTCACCAGTATATAGACGCAGAGGAATATTACCGCCACGAGGCACATTTTCGCCATGAGTATTCATGATTCTGAGAAATAACCAAAATGAAGTTTAGCATAACAAGGTATTCCACAATCAAGAACGCGAGGAGAGGGGAAGTAAGTATTTCATAATCAATAACGAAAGGAAATAACAGTCAACATAAGGAAATAATAATCAACGGAAAGAAACGACAATCAATGGAAACAAATAGCAATCAGGGGAAATGAATAACAATCAAGGGAATAGAACGAAATCCTAACTATGCTCTGGACCAATGACAGCAAGCAATAAGAAGGAACCAACAAAATCGGATCAAGGAGACAAAACTTTAGGACATAATCAATAAAAATCGAACCAACCTGGCCATGATACCAAACTGACACGTCCCAACCCAGATATCCTAATGACACTTAGCTGACACCAAAAGGTGACGAAAGGCATAAATGAATGAATCTATGAGAATATGAAGGAACGAGCAAACTAGAAATTATGCCAAAAAACTATTTGCAACGAATACGTAATATTAAGAAGAAATAACAATAATAAATTAATTTAAGCATGAACGAAAAAATGTATTCAACGATCATGAGTATATCCCAGAGCATACTACAAAATAAAGTGCCAGAGAAAAGTAGAACAACAAGAAACAAGTGATTATCAAAGAAATCATACTCAAGTGGAGGGATGCAAGGTCACTGATAGGGAAAGGCCTCGATGCTCGGATTGTACTCTTCGTCACTATGTCTTGAGGGGCGCAAAATAGAAAAGGTGAGCGGATCATAATTTACATCAATACTAATAATACGAAAACCATTTTATTTGAACATACTAACCCCATGTTTTGAAAACATATATAATACTACATAATAGGTTTTTCTGAAAACCCTAGCATGCCATGAATTCATTCGTAAAACAAGTATGGTTAAAATCATGCTCAATAACGATGAAATCATCACTCGAAGGTAAATCCATAAATCTCATCAATATTGTACTCTCTAGGGGTATCATAGTTGCCCGAAGGTAGTACTTGTCCATCACCTGAATGTGAAGCTGTACGACACTGGGTTAGGCCAGTTAAGAAACATGTTAGGCCTCATCACCCGAAGGTGAAACTGTACGACTTCGGGTTACGTCGGAGAAGAAAATATATACATCACACACCGACAGTAGTTGTGGCTAGTGAAGCTGTTCGACACTGCTTTTGGCAGTGAAGCTGGGGGTATAACATATATCATATCTCACTCCTCATCAACTGTGTCCTATGACCATAGACATTTATACCCGTGTTGTGTGGATGTGATGTATGATAACCCGCTAGATAAGCACCGAAAACATACCTCAATCTCATATCAAATCACCAAAGCTCAAAAGCTTAAACATTGTCTCATAAATCCATAGTAAGTCATATCCGTAAATCCATCGAATCTCATATTCGTAAACCCGCAAAATAAATCATATTTGAAATTCATAGAAATTCATATACAAAATTCCAATATTTTATAACCTTTAGTAAAACATAAATTTGATAAATCATAAATATTACGTAAAAGTAATTTAAAGAAATCATAAATTCTCCATAAAACATATTATAAAACATGCTCAATCATGAAATATGAAATGCATGCTAGGCTAAGCTGTCTCAAAGCATAAGTAATGACCTTCCCATGTTGCATCAATACGCAACCCAAACCAAACAAAGAAGCATCATTGTAGCTCTCAAACTCCCCGCCCTCATCTGGAAAGGCAAGAACAGAGGCGCGAGTAAGGCAACACTTTAACTCCTGGAAGCTCTGCTCGTAGTCTTCATCCCACTCGAATTTCACGCCTTTCCAAGTTAACCTCGTAAGTGATAAGGCAATAGTTGAGAAATCTTGTACCAAACGTCAGTAATACGCGTTCGTATCAACGAGAGCTACAGAAATAAATTAACGAAGAATTATATTACATCAACGGACGAAAGTCAATGTTTATGTCATTAGGGGTATTTTCGTAATTTTAACTAATTATAATGAAATTTTTGAAACGGGCAGTTACATGTAAAATGAGATCATACGCACAAGAATAAATGAGATTGATACATAATGGTTCAATCTATAAGAGGCTCAAAAGCTCACAATGGTTACATAAACTCACTAGATTTACACATGAAGCGTTAAATCATGCCCTAGTTTCACATTTACATGGCTATGTGCATATAAATTTTCCAAGTCATGATCATCAAAAATATGATCAAAACAAAAATAATATAAAGAACTAATGTCAAGTATAAATTTCTTGAAAGTTACAAGAAAATAAAGACTGAATCTCATATGTGAAATGGGAAGTAGCCAATAAGAACAAGACTAAAAAAAAAAAATATATATATATATATATATATATTGGATTTTTCGAAATTTTATTTTTATGTATTTTTTTGAACTAAAAAAAATTGAAGATAGGAATAATGAAAATAGACAACAAAAGTATAGCAAAAAGAAAAATAAATCAATAAAGCTCTTGGACGAAGAAACTTCCTGGGTTTAAAGGAGAAGCGGCAACTGAAGATGTAGATGGAAATCCACCCCTAAACTTGATTTTTGTACAAGCAACAAGGTAAAGTGGCTCCACTTTTCTGCAAAAACACAAAACAATGGGTAAGCTTAACAAGAGACTTAGGAAACAAATTACAATGAAGAAGCTTTAACGAAAAAGATATATGAAACATGCAATGAGATTTCACAATCGTGCATGGTGCGACCCTTGCCTGAGCAATCTCGAAGACAATCACCACATAAACTTCAATCTGAAATCACAAGATTGCATGCACAACACGCAATGAGACATCACAATCGTCACAAATTTGAAGTTTAACTCCACTAGTATTCCTTCAACACCAATTCGATATAAATTAAAGAGGAATTGCCCCAATTGAAAATTGCAATGTTGTACCCAAAAAATCAATTGCAACAAATTCCTCCAATTCAAGAAATTCTTCATAACATCAAACACAAATTACATTGTACCATCTACTTATATTCTCCAAATCAATTCCAATTACAATGAACAAAAATAACAAAAACTCAAATAGTAGGAATTAACGAAATTAAAATAAACAATATATATTGAAATTCCTATTACAATATGCAAAAAATGGCAAAAACCCACGTCAGGGTTAAAGGGATGAATGCTCGCGTTGGATTTGGCGGAGCCGTCCTCAATTGGGCTGACGGAGGAAGAACCAAAGAACATGAAAGGAAGGACCGGAAACGTGGATCCAGCCTTGGGGCAAGGCGATGTGGAGCGGAGTGCGGTTGTCGTAGTCGGGGGAGTAGACGCCGTACTCAAAATCGTGGGCATCGGCTGGAGAGAGCTTGTCTTCGCGCCCAGGGTCTTGAGTTGAAGAGCGAGGCTTTGAAGAATATGAGAACTGGATCATATGGGTCCTCTTCTTCTTCTTCAAATGCTTGTAGTCAAATATAGTTCGAGAGAAGCAGAGAAAGGAAAGAGGGAGGGAGAGAAGAAAGTGGGTGAATCAAATATAGTTCGAGAGAAGCAGAGAAAGGAAAGAGGGAGGGAGAGAAGAAAGTGGGTGAATCAAATAAGAAAAAAAGTAATAGGTGAGAGAGAGAGAGGGGGGAGCGAATCGAGGGAGGAGAGAAGTAATCTTTATAACCAAAAGGAGAAAAAAGGAACCAAAAAAAAAAGGAGAAAAAGAATGAAAAAGTGCTGACTAGACTATGGGAAAGCATTCAATTACAAAAGAAAAGCACAAAAGAGGTTTGTCAGACATGAGACCGAATCTTTATGAGTCAAGACAACCTCTCTGTTTCAAATAAAAAAATTAAAAAAAAAAAATGTGGTAGGGAACTCTGGCCCACGCGACGAGATATTCCAACCGAGTTTTTGACTGACTTGTTTGGAAGTCTCTGGTTTTTGACTGACTTGTTTGCAAGTCCGTGGTTTTTGTTAGTGCGCTGATGTCCCCAACAACATTCTGGATAAACAATGCTTCACGCCTGCAAATTGAAAGTCCAAATTATGCAAACAGATCATTCATCATATCATGCAACACCAACGTTCATATGAACTAAACTAATTCATCATATATCTTAAAATGAAGAATTAATTAGACGATGTGATTAATGATCTGCTAATGAATTAGGGTTCGCTATATTTGTTCCAACATTTGGTATCAGAGCCAATATTATTGTCTTCTCATTAATCCGTTGAAGGCTGATGCTTATCTGATTACTAATCATTATATTCTTCTTCTAATATGATCCTAGCATTGGATTTCTATGGCTATTATCATTGTGGCTTCCTCAGTATTTGCAGATAAAGAATGTTGGTGACAAACACAAAATTATAATATGAATAACGGTTGCAACTTAATCTTTTGTTGAAAGGCATGATGATATATAGAGATAGCTCATATCAAAGGTTATCGAAACTAACAATGTTTGCAGGAGCAACAATCATATCATGCAACACCAAGATTCATATGAACTAATCTAATTCATCATATATCTTAAAATTAAGAATTAATTAGTCGACCTTTAAGCTGACATGAAAGACTGGTGGATAACCCACTGGGAATTCATACAGAAGACTAGTCCTATTACTAGCAACAACATAAGGTTCTCAGTGAGTAGAAGCTCTTCTTTGATCAATCGTCCATGGCTTCCTCAGTTTTTTTATCAATCGTCCATGGCTTCCTCAGTTTTTTTTATCAACCGTCCATGTGATTAATGATCTGCTAATGAATTAGGCATTGCAATATTTCTTCCAACATTTGGTATCAATCCGTCAAGGCTGATGTTTATCTAATTACTAATCATTATATTCTTCTTCTAATTACTAATTATTATATTGTTCTTCTAATCATTAATCTAATTATACAAGATGTTGCAAGCAATTAAATTTTGTAAAAGAGGAAATTTGAAATTATACCCGTCCGCAGTGGTTTTAAGATTCCGGCCACTCAAATCTGCACAAGCCTTAAGATCCTTTCTCCACTGCTCGACTTCATTTGGATCTTCCTCCCTTTCATGCATCTGAAATGCTTCCCGAAAACTACCACTCTGTTTCCTCACTTCAGAAGGGTCAACGTCATAGAATAGTGGATAGACTACTTTCCCCTTCACCTCTTGATCTTCTCGGCACCTCATGATCTTCGACAGCTCCCTCAGGCACCATCGGGACTCCGCGTACCTCTTCGAGAAGATGACGAGGGCGATCCTCGACCCTTCGATTTCTCCGTCAGGTTCGCTCTGTATATTGTCCTCCCTTCTGAGCTGGTTGTCTACAAACGTGTTAATTCCGGCATCGCTTAAAGCAGAGTAGAGGTGGTCTGTGAAGGTAGTGCGTGTGTCGTCGCCGAAGCTGAGGAACACCTCGTACTTCCAGCGGTTTGCATGGGCGGAGCTGCTGGTATTCACCGATTTCAAGAAAAGGAAAAAACAAAGAAAAAAGAAAAGTAGAGGTGAATTCTTGCACAGCTCGTACTTCCAGCGGTTTGAACGCCGAGGGGAGGACGAAGAGGCGGCGGTTGCATTGGTGGATGTGCTGGTAATCATTGATTTCAAGTAAAGAAGTGAAACTCCTGATTATTCTTTTGGATCGCTGGAAGATGTGAGGGCAAAGCAAATTAAGGACCCCAATTCTTTGATTTTTGATTTGCAAAAGCAAACCTTCGAAGATCTGAAAGGCAGCTCAAACAGATGCAAAACTGAAATCGAAAATAGTAGAGAGAGGAGATACTGCTTTTTAATGATTTCCAGTTCCAGCTCCTTGTCTCTATCTCGATCTCTGTCTCAGTCAGACTTGGCTGTGGAAGGAAAGATGGGGCTGCCGGGGAGAGAGAAAAGGAGAAAAATAATGAAGTAAGAAAGGGAGAGGAGATGCAAAGAACATGCTAGCTAGGGTTTGTGGAAAGAATATGCTAGCTAGGGTTTGTAGAAAGAGGGCTTCTCTTAACATGGGCTTGAAGTTTAGGTTTTAAGATGTTTGGGTTTAGAAATTGGGCTAGAAATTGGATAAATTTTAAATACATGATATAAATAAATAAAATTAATATATATTTGGTTCAGTTTGGTTTCGGAATTACTGACAAAAAAAAAAATCAAATCAAATGATTTCGGCTCGGATCGATTTTTTTTTGTTCGTTTTTTAGGTTTTGGTTTGGTGTTCGATTCGATTTTTTATTTTGTTTTCGGTTTTTTAAACCCACTCTTAGTTCACGACCTTATTTTATTTTAAGGGTGGTGCACAAGTTGGTTCAATTGATGTTGGTGGACGTCATGGGTTCATGAACAAACATGACAAGGTTGCATTGGACATGGCACATGTTTGTGGGTTCTGCATTGATTGAACTGTATTTTAAATGCGGACAGATGAGCCAGAATTTTGGCAATCAATGCTTCAATTAAGACAAAGTTTGAGGACCTGGACCAATTCTAACATTAACCAAACATAATAATAGTAATATGTCACTTATGCAATATGCTAACATTAAATTCTGGACAAAATGATTCACATGTGATGAGTTCATCGTCACGTAACGTTTTAATATTGCATGTATAATTTATTGTGAGACGTCACGTGACGAAGACCCCTTCAATTTAAGAGCTTTGCAAAACCTTATCATTGAATGGAAAAATGACCAACCAGTGATGGAGATGATTTGTTGGAACTAAATAGACTATGAAACAGGTAAAAGTTAAGCCTGGTGAAATGCGTGCTACTGCTGACTGCTGTTTAATAGTTCTTGATAAGAAAAATGAGCGGTGGATAGAGAATGAGAGCCCAAGGACCCTAATGAGCTTGACCACTGGTTTGATTGATGGCTAAGAATTACCATCTGTTTTTTTGTGTGACTTAGAAGCACAATTAGGTTTGATAAAGTTAATACAAGAAAGTATGAACCTAAGAATTTGTAGTGGAAAATACAAAAGATTCTTAATATACCAAAGAAATAATGTATCAGTCATGGGTTGTACGTTGTTTTGTATCTGTCACTGATGAATTAGTTATTGTCGTCGTCAATGTCATCGTCAAACTCATATGATATAGTATGATAGTCCTCCTCATCGGTATCATCAAACTCTATATAGTACATGCCCATAATTCACCTTATTCACTCATGAACGGAAAAACTATAGGAAAACAAAAATTGGTAGAAAGTGAGAGAATTAGTTCATGGAGAGAATTAATTAAAAATAAAAAATAAAAGAAGAGAGTGGTATTTAGGGAGAATGATTCTATACTTTCGGATAATGATTCTATGGTATGTTGTTCACATAGCTTTGAATTATATACATTACAAATTGACTTTGTACAAATATTTAAGTGATTCATATATTTGCTAAATGGTCCCAATTCATCGTACTTTTTTCATCTCCTCAAGTGAAAATGAACAAAGATAGACTCTTAATTCATAAATTGGTATCTTAATTTGATAAAATGTGGAGCATTTGTCCTTTACATATCCATAACAAATGAAGTATGTAACATGTGTTTCACTTGCTTAATTTTGACAAAAATTCTCATGCAAATATTTTATAAAATTCTAATAGCAATTCTATACATCTCGTCAAAGAGAGATAAAAACACACCACACAAGTGAAAAAAAACGAAGAAAACAGACTTGATTGGATTTGACAAAGGCAACTTATAGCCACGAGTGTGACTACAAACGAAACTCGATCTGGTTTTACGAGGACAAGGCTATGACTGAGCTAGTAATATGAAAGGTGAGCTAAATGGCCTTAAAACAAAGATTTTGAACAAGTATCCTTAAGCATCTATGTTCATTGTTTTGCACACCAACTTCAACTAGCTCTTGTAGTAATTACAAAGGGAATTGATGGTGTTGCCATTTTCTTCAACAATGCTAGTAGTTTGGACAATACTATTGGTTCATCATGTAAGCATCGTGATGCATTTAGAGAGAAGCAACAAGAACAAATTAAGAAAGCTCTTGATATTGGTGATCTTGGAACTGGTATACGGTTAAATCAAGAGATTAGTTTCATGTGTCCTTGTGATACACAGTGGAACTCAAAGTACTATAGTTAGTATTATTGTTATGTTTTAAGCCATGGTGGAGGTGCTTGAATGGATTAAAAATGATGGCAACCAAGACAATTTTAGTGAAGCAAGTAAGTTATTCCACGACATACAAACTTTTGATTTTGTGTTTCACCTTTTTTTTATGAGACTTATATTGGAAATTACACATGAGTTATCACAAGCATTACCAAAGAAAGAAGATATTGTGAATGCGATGGCGTTAGTGGAAGTATGCAAACAAAGACTACAATCCTTGAGAGATGATGACTTTGGGGACGTGCTTGATGATGTACAAAAGTTTTATGAGGAGCATGAGATTATCATTCCTAAAATGGAGGATTTGCATTTCTTACCTGAAAATCAAGGTGTAAAGCTCCAAGATTCACAAATTTCCATTACTATCGTGTGGACCTCTATTTTCAAGTCCTTGATATGCAACTAAAGGAATTAAATGATCGCTTCAATGAGGTAAACACCAAGTTGCTTCTTTGTATGGCATGTTTGAGTTCGGTGATAATTTTATATCATTTGACAAAGCAAAAATTGTTTGTATAGCCCAACTTTATCCTGAAGATTTTGATCATATGGAACTCATGAATCTTCCAATTCAACTTGACAATGACGTTCATGATATGAAGATGCATGGTGACTTTTCATCATTGAGAGGAATTAGTAATCTTGCGAATGAGTTAGTGAAGACCGGGAGGTGTGCAAGCTATATGTTAGTGTATAAGCTTCTTATATTGATTTTGGTGTTACCGGTTGCAACAGTTTCGGTGGAAGTAGCTTTTTCTGCTATGAAGATTGTGAAAACACCATTGCTTAACAAAATGGGAGATCAATGGTTAAGTGATAGCATGCTTGTTTACATTGAGAGAGATGTATATGCTTTTATTGATAATGAGCTTGTTATGCGACGTTTTCATAACATGAAACCTCACCGGCAACAATTGCAATTTGTTTGTATTCATAAATTATGGATGACATTACTATATAAAAGGATTTGGTTGTTGTCATTCTTTTGAACCTCGCACTCTTTTAAGTTCGCCCCTTCCTCCGACAATTCCTGGATTTGCCACTGCTTGGACATACTCAAACTTGTTGTAACAAATAATCTCACCTTTCATATTACTAATATGACTAATAACTAATATAACCAAAAATGCAATTAAACAATACCAAGAATCATACAAATTATTCAATAAAGAAAATTTCAATTCAACTAATCATATGAATAATCGTATACATTATTTAATAATTCAATTAATTAATCAATAATCAAGGATTCAAATTTTACCCTAAACAATAATTTCTTTCATCAATAATCATAAATTTATATCACTAATCAATAACCAATAACCATATTAGTGTATTACCATATGATTCTAACCAATTAAACAAAAATTCGTATTAAATAATTAACTAGGGTTAGGGATTATAGATTTAGAAATTAAAAAATTTACCTAAAAATTGGGAGTGGCTTTGAAAGCTGGAAGCTAGAGTGGCTTGAAGGCTGGCGGCGACTGGAGTGGCTAGCGGCAGCAAAATGGGAGTAAGTATGCCGTTGCTGGGAACTGGGGCATAGCAATGCTCTCTGATTGGAAAATGGTGAAAAGAAAGGGCCAAAGGGTTTGAGAGAGAGGTAACGGGGGACGACCGATCCCCCTGTATTTATTTATTTTTTTCAAACAAATACGAAATGGCGTCGTTTCTTTAGGATTTTAATAACTTTTTTTTTTATTTTACCAGGACCAAAACGACGTCATTTTGGCCTAGATTAAAAAAATATTAAATAAAAAACCCAGCTCTGCTCAAGGTTCTAAAAGACAATAGGCGTTAGTCGGGTGACAGGTTAGGGTCTAGCGCTTAGGTGGCTAAGCAGGGTGCCTAAGCAGACTAGGAGGATTTAAATAAATTCATTATATTTCATGTAAATAAGTGTCTGTTTATACTTAAAATATATATAATCTCATCATAAACTACAAAATAAAATGACATATATATTATAAAGTTTTGGAATATAATGAAAACATAGGGAACAAGCACATTGTCACATCCCGGCCCGGGTGGGACCACTTCCCGGGCCCGCTCCACCACCGTAGCACGATATTGTCCGCTTTGGGCCCTGACCACGCCCTCACGGTTTTGTTTTTGGGAACTCACGAGCAACTTCCCAGAGGGTCACCCATCCTGGGAGTGCTCTAGCCCTCTACTCGCTTAACTTCGGAGTTCCTATGGAACCCGAAGCCAGTGAGCTCCCAAAAGGCCTCGTGCTAGGTAGAGATGGAATATACATTTAAGGATCACTCCCCTGGGCGATGTGTGGAACCCGAAGCCAGTGAGCTCCCAAAAGGCCTCGTGCTAGGTAGAGATGGAATATACATTTAAGGATCACTCCCCTGGGCGATGTGGGATGTCACAATCCACCCCCCCTTAGGGGCCCGACGTCCTCGTCGGCACATTCGCGACCAGGGTTAGGCTCTGATACCAAATTTGTCACATCCCGGCCCGGGTGGAACCACTTCCCGGGCCCGCTCCACCACCGTAGCACGATATTGTCCGCTTTGGGCCCTGACCACGCCCTCACGGTTTTGTTTTTGGGAACTCACGAGCAACTTCCCAGAGGGTCACCCATCCTGGGAGTGCTCTAGCCCTCTACTCGCTTAACTTCGGAGTTCCTATGGAACCCGAAGCCAGTGAGCTCCCAAAAGGCCTCGTGCTAGGTAGAGATGGAATATACATTTAAGGATCACTCCCCTGGGCGATGTGGGATGTCACACACATAATGTATGCTCATTTAAGTATTCAACAAGTCTCTTACAATTTATTGAAGGAACAAAAAATA